TTTGGGCATCAAGCTCCACTCGCTTCGGGTCTGCTTGTCTTGGATGCTAGCACCACCCTCATGTCCCTTGCTGATCCGTTCTCCCTCCCCCCCCCCTTCCCCTCTCGCATCCCGTCCGAAAGAACTCAGGCGCACGTCACTGGAACAGAGCGGCTTCAAAGCAGCAGCTCGCAACGCGCACCTTTACAGCGGCATGGGGATGCTGCTGGGACGTAGGCAGCTGTGGCTTATTTGCGTGAAAACAACAACTACACCGTCTCGCTTTAAAAAGTAGGAACGCTTGTTCGCTCGCGTAGACAGACCGGGAAAGGCACGGAGACACTCTTACATCTCACTACTCTCTCTCTCTCTCTCTGAACAGCTATTACTCTGCCGGGCACGTACTTGCTGACCTGCTAATGTCGCTTCAAAGAGCTTAGCTCAGAACAATCGCTTAGCACATTTGCAGACGAGCAGGGAAGCTAAAAACTTAGCAGACTTGCTTTAATTTGCGTGTGTAATAAATTAAGCGCGCTGCTAACGCTCTTACTGATCACGACCCAGCTAGGATCATCCTCCCTAATTCCTCGCAGTAGGACGCAGACCGGGGGAAAGGAACATCGGCATAAAAGTCTGGGTCGATCCGATTCTACTCGTCTTGCTCTCTCCTGCTCCTAGCTTGGCCTGCTCTCTGCACTGGCTAAGGTTCTTCCATTCGCTAAGAACAGGGCGTTGATTAGCACCATCCTGCACCTGAGAGAGCAGAGCGACAAGGACAATAAAGTCACTCTTCTTTTTTCATTGCGACCTTTGTTATTTTTTAAGTGCGCTCTCTCCACGCGCGCGCGCGTGAGTTGGCCTGCCAATGACAGGCCCGTGACAACGAGTGCACAAAACGGAAAAGAAAAAGAAATGCAGTAAAAAAATATACAGAGACAAGAAAAAAAAAACGCACACACAGGCTTTACACGCACGCGGCCATACATCACGGCGAAACAATCCTTCCGAATGAATCGTTTTGCTGGTCGTCAATTATTTTTTTTACGTCTGTGTATTGTGCGAGAGAGAGAGAGAGAGAGAGAGAGAGAGAGAGAGAGAGAGAGAGAGAGAGAGAGAGAGAGAGAGAGAGACAGACAGAGAGGGGGGAGGTGACTGCCCCGACGTGTGACGAGGCAGACAGGATGTGGCTGGTGGAGGAATTCCCTCCAACTTCGGTCGGAACGCGCGGTTCAAACCCACCGCCGCCTCGGCCGCCCCACTGCCAAATGAAGTCCTAAACGCCCGGTCTCCAATTGCGTCTTTGATGAGACGGCGCGGGGGGGGGGGGGGGGGGAGGCGCAGTGCGGCAGCTGCGACACTCAGTGAAAGTTGTCGGGAAGTAGAAGGGGCGGGGAATCAATGGCTTAGCGAAGACAGTGGCCGCTGCTGCGGACCCGCCGCGCCGCCCAGTCCAGCCGCGGTCATTGCCACTTCTCGACGCCCCGCGACGCCCCGCGACGCCCCGCGACGCCCCGCCACAACGCGGAGACCGGCAGGACAGTGGTACTCGGGGCACGCGCGGCTCTGCGCTGCCGCGTGGCGTGCCGGGGCTTGTGTCTGGGCGCCGTGGACAGCGGAGCACTGGTGCCCTCCTCCATATTCAAGCCACACACCCTGTCGCGGGGCGGGAGGGGCCGGCGAGGGTGTCGAGGGGCAACGGATCATCGCGGCCACACCTGCTGCCTCGGAGTCAAGCGGGCCGAAGGGTCGCCGAGGGTCTGGTCACACGGGTCGGATGACGGGTCGGGCGAGCGGCCAGAGGGTCGCGCGGGTCGCGTTTTTGAAATGCTGGCGACTAGGGGGCGATTCAGGTCGTCCAACGCATGCGTGAAAGGTTGAATCGTTGAAAGTTCGAAGCAGGGTCGAAGAGTCGAAGGGTTCAAGGGTCAAAGCGTTAAAGGGTCGAAGAGTCGAACTGGTGCTGTGGGTATCGGTATAGGATTGCCTCCACTGGTAATGGCGGGTTGCCGGCTCCAGTGTCGTTTTGAATTTGCCCTGGGCCCGGCTAGGCACGGCCTCCCCGATCTACCGCAACGCTGGCGCGCGCTGGCGCCGCGTGAGGCCGCTGTGGGGCACAGTGCCACCGCCACGGCGCGCCACGGGCTCAGTCGGCCGGCCGCGCTAGCTACGCGCTGGCGGCGCAATCTCAAATGAGATCGGACCTACTCGTAAGCCGCGCTGGACGAGGAGATGCACCCTGCCACGCCACGCCCCGCCCCGCCCCGCCCCGCCCCGCCCACGCCACGCCACGGCACGCCACGCAGCCGGTACGCTGTGACTAGACTCGCATTAACTGCGAGGCGGCGCCGCGGACGGGCAAGCAGGCCGGGCGGGCGAAGGCGTCGCCAAACGAAAGTGAAAGGAGGGGGGTTTTTTAATTAAAGGGATGATCGCGCCGGAGACGCGCGCGACCTTCCAGATAAGGCGGCGCGGCGGTGGCCGAGTCGGTAGGGGCGATGCTGCCGGAGCCGAGCGTCGCGGGTTCGATTCCACTCAGCCGCGGCCGTTCGAGTTGGAACGACAGTGCCGCCCGGTGGCCGAGTGGGTTGGGGCGTGGCCTCCGGAGGCCGAGGTCGCGAGTTCGACACCACTTAGCGGCGGCCGTCTTCGCCCTTGTCGGCGCGCGTGTCGGCGACGTGTCGGCGACGTGTCGCCGGAGTTTGGCTGCGGCGGCGCTGCGGGTCGCAGTGCCACCCGAGTCGGCCATTCATGTGGATTGCCATCTTCACCTCCCTTTGAGCCGCAAAGTTTGCCAAGGGCTGGCGGGGCTGGCGGGGCTGGAGGGCGGCCGGGCGCTTTCGTCCCTTTGGTGGCACATCAATGGCCGGGCCCCGTCTTTTCTGCTCTACTTCTATCAGTAATCTCCTCCGAGTTCCATCACTTTAAACGCAGCGACGCGACGCTCGACGCTCACGTAAGTCGTACAACTTAGATTGAGTCGCGTTCGAGACGTCGAGCAAATGACAAAGGGAATACTCAGCCAAGTTTCTTTTGACTCGTTGGCCTTAGGCAGCCTTTGGGGCCCTAGGCAGGCCGAGCCGCGCGCCCTCTATCGCCCGTCGATCGCCGCCTTTTTGACACAAGTTTAATGGCAATGACAGTCGCCGAGTGCAGACCGAGAGTCGTTACCATCGCTCTGACTCTCTCGCACTCATGGGGCGTTCGGCATAGGTGCGAGAGAGACAGAGCGATGAAGATACTCTCAGAATCGGTCGGCTCAGGGTCTTCATCAGAGCCTCCAGCAGCCTGGAAGCCTTCCCAGTGGGGCGACCGGGCACCGTGAACGGCTTTGCTTAGCTAACTCGCATCGCGTTGGAGCGCCGCCTTCTTTTGCGATCCCAAGCCGCGCGGAACCCCGCGGCCAAGGCGGAAACAACTGCCACTAGCGCGGGGGCCGACGCGGGCGTAAATTAGTTCGAAAAAGAGCGCGAATTACGACAGATAAATTTCCCTCGACGTAAATGAGTGCGGACGAAGCGAGGGCTCTCCCCCTCTCCGTTTCCGTTTGCCACTATCACCCCCGCCCCGCCTTGCTGGAGCGTCGGCACCTTGCCCGTGTTGGTTCACTTCGACTGACCCACCATTTCGTTCCCGCCAAACACGCGAGGCTGGTCAGCGCAGCGCACGCATAATTTCAAAACGTTCTCAGCAGACTGATTCAGTAGCTGTCTCTCTCGCACCGTGGGAGCGAGAGAGACAGAGCGAGGAAAACGACTCTCGGAGTCAGTCTAGCGTTTTTGGCAGTGTTTTTGCCGGGGCAAAGGGTGTGCCGGCCGGACTGGACTGAGTGGCCGGGGCTCCATGGCACGGCAGAGCGCGGCACGGCACGGCACGGCACGGCACGGCGCGGCGACCTTCAGATTCCACGTCCTGCTCGTAATTCGGGGCTGGGATCCGAGGGCCCATCCCTCCGCTAGGGTCTGCGGCGTCCGCCCCCTCCCCCTTTTTCCTCTCCCACGTCACTCCTCTCTCTCTCTCTCTCTCTCTCTCTCTCTCTCTCTCTCTCTCTCTCTCTCTCTCTCTCTCTCTCTCTCTCTCTCTTCCTCGGAGCCCCACCGGCAGTGCGGAACATTAGTTCCATCATCTGTCGAGAGGGACGATCGGTCGGCACCATCTCTCCTCTCCCCCCTCCCCCTCCCCCCATCCTGTCCACCGCCCGTCCTCACACCGCGTCGAACCGCACAACAACCTTGCCGCCCCCCTCCCTTCCACACCCACAAACTTTGCCAATAAATAAACTGTTTCTCAAATCAAGCCGAGAGGTTTCCCCCGCGCGCCAACCGACTGAGGGCGGTAAGACGTGGCGAAGGGCTCGAAAGGGGGGGGGGGTGCGTTCCGAGTGAAGGACGCACGCAGTCACTGCGCGGCCGGACGGGACACTAAGCAGACAGGCGCGAACGGCAAGCCGAGGGGTTCTTTGAGGGCGGTGGCGCGCAAGACGCTGACTGCTGTCCCGGCTGCAGGCTGATTCCGAGAGTCGTTTCCGTCGCTCTGTCTCTCTCCCACTCACGGGGCGTCCCCTGTAGGTGCGAGAGAGACAGCGCGACGAAACCGACTCTCGAAATCAGTGTGCCGGTCCACTCGCACGGTAACGTCGGCCGAGACACGGCGGGCCGCCCATCAGGGAGTCCTGAATGAGGCCCTTGTTGACAAGGGCCCCGGCCGGACACCGCCGGTTTGATCTAATTTCAACTGATCCGGCCGCTGCGGGAGTTGGCCGCAGCCCCCTGCCCGTGCCACAGTGGGCCAGAAGACCAGTGCAGGCGGCCGAAACTCCAGACGCGCTTTGAGCTCGAGGGTCGCTAAACAGCACCCGAATCTAACGTGTGACCCCACCAATGGATTCCTCATTCGGAGAGCAATCCATTGGTGGGGTCACACGTTCGCTTTGAGTCCTATTCAGCGACTCTGGAGCTCAAAACGCGTCCGGCGTTTCCTTCTGGCCCACTGTGCGCTCCGCGGTGCGCCCCCTTTGTACTCACGGTTCATGTCGAGGCGCACGGAGGACGTGACGGGCGCGGCCAGCATGTTGTTGGAGGCCTTGCAGGTGTACTGCCGGTTGAGCTGCTTGCGCTGCAGGTGCTCCAGGCGCAGGACGTTCTGGACGCGCCGCTCCGAGCGCCGCTCGTAGGAGTCGTCCAGCATCACGTTGTCCGTCCACCACGTGACGCGCGGCTGCGGCCGGCCTGCGGGAGGAAATTAGACGACACTGTAGGGAAACACTGCAGAGTCAAAAAAAGAAAAAAAAAAAAGGATGAAATTTGGGCTTGTTTTCGCCTCTCCACGGCCCGGCCGGTCCGAAACCCCCCGCTTCCAAATGAGTCGGCGACTTCTTTGTGTGGCACGCTGCAAGCGCGCCAAAACTCCGGCCACATAAAGCAGGAGATGAAGGAGGAGAAACCAAAGGGGCGGCTTTCAGCGGCCATATACCCCCCCCCCCTCTCCCTCACCCCCACCCGCTTGCGCCCACCCCCGAGTGTTCATCGGGAAAGTCAAAGAACGCTCCGTCCGCGCGTGTTTGTGAGTCGGCCCGCAAGATTTCTGCTCGTTCCCCCGGCAAGTAGGCAATTTGTGTGTCACCGCCTCCCACCGCGTCGAGCCCAGCGCGCCCAGCGCGCCCGGCCGCACGTCATGCATGTTGCATATTGTGCGGTCCTCTCTCTCTCTCTCTCTCTCTCTCTCTCTCTCTCTCTCTCTCTCTCTCTCTCTCTCTCTCTCTCTCTCTCTCTCTCACGTCATCGGCGCTGTCCTCCCCTGAATCGAGGGAATCCTGCCGAGCCGACGGCGTGTCAGGGGTGTTTGACGCTCGAGCGACGCTCAAGAAAAAGAAAAAAAAGAAAAACCCGCAAAATTTGCATTTTGTATCGGAATTGCGGCGGTGCACTGTAAACTCGTGATGGAAAACGCGGCGCAACAACGTGTTCCACTTAACGTTGCAACTGTGTCATGCATTTCGCCCAGCGCACATATAACACAAGGAGCTGCAATAGCGCAGTGCGGGTCTGCATGCAGTAAATTGTAAAGTTGGCGGACCTGCTGCAGCGCCGTGGTGGCCTGGCGTGGTGTGGCCTGGCCTGGCGCCGGCCGGGCCCTCAACGCATCCTATGCAGCCTAGGCCCTAAGCCCCTCGCCGCAGTTTACACAAGCACACACACGCACACACACACACACACACACACACAAGGGCCGGCACTAGAAAAGTTTAAAATTATCACCCCGCCTAACCTGCTTTGCGGTTTTGGCCCGCAGGCCGCTCATTTCCCCTACTACGCCAAATGGCCGGACACAAAAGGACCCCCGTCATCGCTTACCTCCGGACGCCTCGCAGGTGATCTCCACGGTGTCGCCCTCGTTGTAGGGGCCCAGGATGTGGTGCCGGATGTGCTCCCCTCGGTTGTCCATGATGAGGAGCTGCTCAGGGGGCACTGTGAACACAGACAACAAAAACACCCGTTAGACTCTTTCGTTTTGCTGTTGCTGGCTTGCTTTTGCGCTGGATAGGGGTGGCGGCCAGCGCTCAGCGGCCCAGAAGACCGGCGGAGGCGGCAAATATTCTGGACGCGTTTTGAGCTCTAGAGTCGCTAAACAGGACTCGAAAAAGTGTGACCCCACCAATGGATTCCTCGTTCGGAGAGCAATCCATCGGTGGGGTCACAGGTTTGGTTCGAGACCCATTTAGTGACTCTGGAGCTCAAAACGCGTCAAAACGCGTCTCGAATTTTTGCCGCCTCCACCGGTCTTCTGGCCCACTGTGCTCCTCTATTCTCCAACTCCACCACGGCTCGGCGCCTCACACCGAGGAGTGCTTATTAAAATGATTAGCCACGGAGCATGCGGATCTTTGATAATTCAAAAGGGCCAAGGCCAAAGACACCAGCGAGGGCCGCACCAAAAGACCCTTGAGTGCTCCGCACTGAAAAAAGGGAAAAAAGGCAAGGAAAGGGAATGTTCATTTAAAGATGCTAAATGCCGGGCGAAGGGTGATTTTTTGAAAGAAAACGGGAAAGAAAGAGGGGCAATATTCTCATGCCGAACACAGGAAGTTAGTTGGCTGTAACGGTCAGCTAACGGCAGCATAGCCAGGACATAACCTGTTGATCTTCATATTACCAGACCAAGAGGCACGAGATCGCTCCAAAGGTCATTTTTCGAACAGCTAGAGACGCGGAGCTGATAAGCAAGTGAGGCTTTGTTGGCAATCTTTTTTTTTTCAGGAGATCGAATTTTTTTTCTCATGCAGCACACTTTCTTTGCCTGCGATGAGGCTATCGCACGTTATTAGCATAGGACCCCGCTCACATTGTTGGGCAACGCAAAAAACAAGGCCGCAGCGGGGAGGGACGGAGAGGAGAAGGGGTATAAACAAAGCACCCGCTAAGGTGTTTTGGTGCTCCTTCTCTGCTGTTATACAGGTTCCAGGCCTCACAGGTGGCTACAGACTGGAGCGCGAAATTCCCTCGAAAGGTGCGAGACCCGTGTGTCGGCAGCAGCGACGACAAGACTGGCCCACCTCGCTGGCGACAGCTCCCAAGATTGAAAGCAGGACCCTGCCGAACTTGTCACGGGGCCAAATTGAAAACACAACACAACAACGGCCGGCGACACACGCGCGGCTCGTCACGGCCCGGCTGCCGCACCCATTTGAGAAACGCGAATTGTGAACTTGGTTCCCGCCCAAAAGTTTGGAGTGGTGGATCCGAAGGGTGGATCCGCCGTTAATTCGGGCCGCTGTCGGACGGCTCTGTTGTCGGACGGATTTGTTTGCGTCCCACTGACTGTTGACACGGCGATTCGCATTGCTGTGCACATTGGCCGCCGATAATGCTCCGTTCAGCGATACGAGTCAGTGGCGCAGCAGCGGTGAAAATGTTCCATATTATGGTGGTGCAGCTGACCTCGTAACATACCATTGAGAATTCACTGTACCTTATAGATATTTTGACGAATTTTGTTGGTATTATGGAGAAAATCCTCACCACATATTAATGTTGGACGCTTTTCCAATCTGGCAACCTGGCACGGAAGAGGTGAAATAACAGCCCCCCCCCCTTCCCGGCCTTCTCGCCACCGAATTTGTTTTAATTCTGTGCCCCGACGGCGTCTGATGACGACAACCCAATTTTCTGCCAACAGGTCAGGCTGGCGGGTGAGCTGCGTCAAAACTTTGATCACAACGAAGGGAAACTCTTTGCTTTTGTTGGCCCGCTTTGCGGCGTTCTCGCTGCCGTTGAACGTTTTAACAGATTCTGCGCTGTCGCCCCCCCCCCCCCCCCCCCCGTTCGTTGGCCGGCCCGGCCCGCCCTCAGGCCCGCCTAGGACCGGGCGAACGGGCAAGTGGGTTGTATTTCATATTCTGGCAACTGCCCAAACAACGCCACAGGGAATTCCCGAATCCATGAATTTAAGTTTTGCCATCAATTGGGCCCGGACCCCACCCGGCCAACTTCATGCACTTCGCACACACCTTTCAGAGCCAGGTCTTTCGCCCCAGGCCCTTTGGCGCGGCTGGCATGGCTCCTTGTCACCCTTTTTTCCGCTACGAGGAAAGCGTGCGTGTGGAGCCGGGGAAGTGGGTCAAGGGAGGCGGGAGGCATGGAATGCCGGAGTCGCTCAGTCACCTGGGAAGCGTGCGGTTAGCCAGGCGGCATGTCTGAGCCACTGCAGACTTCTCCAGCCATCTTCCATCATCTTTCTCAAAACGATTTTAGCCCTTACAAACACACGTAGCTTGTCATAACAAAGTATTTTGAGCATACACATGCTTACAAAGAAAATACCTTGTAATTTATGAAACTAAATTCTTCGTAAAACAAACTTGTTCGTTCTTATGCTCTAAATTCTTCGTAAGGTTTCAAGCGTGATGATTTTCATTGACACCGTGCTTTTTAAACGATGGAGGTGGAGTCAGACAGTGGGCAAAACCAGCAAATTTCCAAAGAAAACGTCAAATAAAAATGCGATTTGTGGCATGCTCTCCTCCGAGATGATTGAGCCGTGTCCAACCCTAACCTCACTTCACGACGTCTCCGACCGGATTCTCTCTCCCGCTGAGAAGTCTGCGACGGCAGTCTGCTCAGGCGCTGTCAAGGGGGTCAAGCGAGACACTCTGCGAGGACCGGCCTGCATTAAACATGGGCTGCTGAGTGAATATTTGAAATTACCAGCACCTGGGAATAAAGCGACATCGCGGATGGCGGGACCGCGAGGCACCGCGAGGCACCGCGAGGCGGACACGGAAAGCGACTTAGGTAGTGCCAGGCCTGGGCCAGGCCTGGGCCGAGGAGGGTTGCCAACCTCACCCACCTTGCCACCCCAGAATTCAAAACAAAGAGGGAAACTTTGGGGCGATGTCATCGCAGTGACAAATGCGGCCCTTAATGGAATTGTGAAAACAAGGTGGCGGAGCCGCGCCGCTCTTTTATTTACTAAAGCGAGATCCTTCTGGCATCCTAACCTCATGCCGCCAGGCCGCGCCGGGCCGCGCCGGGCCACGCCGGCCACCCGGGCCACGCCGGGCCACCTCGGCCACGCCGGGCACGCCGGCCACGCCGGCCACGCCGGCCACGCCGGCCAGCCGGCCACGCCGGGCCACGCCGGCCGCCCGGGCCACGCCGGGCCACGCCGGGCCACGCCGGCCACGCCGGGCCACGCCGGGCCACGCCGGGCCGGCGGCGGGACTGATCAAGCAGATGGATAACGAATAAAAAAGGCAAAAAAAGGCATCAACGATAAAATAAAGACGGGAACCCCGAAGAGGCAGAAGGGAGGTTAAACCAGGAGGATAAATAAAAGGGGACTGGAAAGCACACACTCAATCGTCGGCGGCTGGAGAAGGCTGGAGCAGCAGGCTGGAGCAGCAGGCTGGATCGGGGTGGCGCCCGTTCCTCCCTCATAGATCCGCAGTAATCCGTTTCGTTGCGACGCGAGGTTCTCGCGAGCGCCGCCAGAGGGCGGGCCGGCGGGCCGGCGGAGTGGAGTCTTGTTGGCCGGGGTCAGCCTTTCTGGGTCAGCATTGTCATGGCCGGCAGCAAACACCGTCCCCGGGACGCGCATGCAGCACTGCTACACCGCAAGACACTGCCGCATAAAATTGGCGACTTATCGACTCTGCGGCGCTGCGGTCTGGCCGCCCCGACTTCTGGCCGAGCGCGCGGCACAGCCGAGGCACAGCCCAGGCACAGCCCAGGCACAGCCCGCGCGGATTAAGGCGCCTTTTATACTTATTTATATCGCTGATCGGTAAAGGGAAAGTTCCTTTATAAGCCGCTGCCTCCAGCCCGTGCTTTATGACCAAAAGTTGCGCCCGTGAAATCGGCGCAGTGGGACCGGCCCCCAAAAAAAGCGTCATCAATATGGGAAAAAATAATAACAACAAAAACAAGACTCGGCCATTTTCATTTTCCCGCCCATGCCACCCAAAGTGTGGGTGTTTCGGAAGGGGCAATCCCGCTGAAGGGGGGAAGGAAAAAAAAACACACTGGAGAAATTTCGCCAGAGAAGGCTATTCCACTCTCTCTGTCTTTCGTTCCGGACGGAACCAACAGCTCTAAAAAGAATCACAGCATAGGAAGCGAAAAAAAAAAAGTGAAGGTTGAAAAAAAGGCGGGGCACCCCGGCACCGCCACCGCGCCCTCTCATCCCTTTAGATTCCGTATCTCGACTTCGCAGCGCCTCGCCGCTCCGCCTCGCCGCCCCGCGGGCCGTGGGCCGAGACCGTGGGCCGAGACCGTGGGCCGAGACCGTGGGCCGAGACCGTGGGCCGAGACCGTGGGCCGAGACCGTGGGCCGAGACCGTGGGCCGAGACCGTGGGCCGAGACCGTGGGCCGAGACCGTGGGCCGGAGGGCTGGCTGTCACACGGCCAACCGGCACCATAATTCGCCTTCTCGCGCCCCGCCCCGCCCAATTATTCCACACTGTATAGACAGCCACCTGCAGGCCTACCGTCTCCCTCGCACTCACGCGCGGCGTCCCGTGCGAGGAAGACTGTTCTTCTGGGCCGGCTCGTTGTTTGGGCCACGCGGCGCCACGCCCGCAGCGATTTGGACGCGTTTCAACTTTATCCATCCTCGCTTAGCGACGACGACGGAAGGCCCGAAGGGCCCAAAGGGCCTCAGCCTTAAATTTATGGCTCATTTTTATTACCGTGAGCACATGCGCGGACATGGGACGTGCATGGCAGGCCCCGTTCTGGGCCAAATTCGGTGAAAACGAGCAAGTGTTGAAAGAGAAAGAATTTGTGAGTATGTACTTAATGTTTATGTACTTTCATTGTCCATAACTAGTGTTATATTTGAGCACATGTAAGCTATGTACAAATCAAATACATCAATCAGACACAATATCTCGAAAAGAGAGAGAGAGAGATGGAGAAAACGGAGAATAAAACGCACGAAATGCAGCCGCCGGATTCGATTGTTGTAGCC